ACCAAGACCACGACACGAACACACCACACGAACACACCACACATTACACCACACACCACACTTCTTTTCTTCTCTCGCTCGTGTCTCTACCTCTGTTCTTCTCCTCTTTTCTCTCTCTCTTGCTCTTGTTATTCTCTCTCTTCTCCCTCTTTTTGGTTTTACTTTTTTCATCTCTCTCTCTTTGTCTCTCTCTCTCTCTTTCTCTCTCTCCTCCTGCTTGGCTCTCTCTCTCTCTTTATTCTCTCTACTCTCTTTATCTCTCTCTATCTCTATCCTCTTTTTCTTTATCTCTCTTCCCTTTTCTCTCGTCTCTCTTCTTTTCGATCTCTCTCTCTCCTTTTCTCTCTCTCTCTGGTTTCTCTCTCTCCGTTTTCTCGTTCTCTCTTTCTTTTCTCTCTCTCCTCGTCTTCGTTCTCTTCTCTCTCTCTTTTCTCGGTCTCTCTCTTTTTCTCTCTCTCCCTCGTCTTTCTCTCTCTCTCTCTGTTTCTCTCTCTCATCTCTTCTCTCTCTCTCGCTCTTTCTCTCTCTCTCTTTTCTCTTCTCCTCCGTCTTCTCCTTCGCTCTCTCTCTTTTTCTCTTTCCTCTCTCTCCTCTCCTTCGTTTTCTCTCTCTCTCGCTCTTCTCTCTCTCTCTCTCTCTCTCTTTCCTTTTCCTCTCTCTCGTCTCTCTCTGCTCTCCTCTCTCTCTCATCTCTCTCCTCTCCCTCTCTCTCTCTCTCTCTCTCTTCCCTCCTCCTCCCCCCCCGCCTACCGGTCTCCCCTTTCCCTCATGCATTCCTCACGTGCACCCCCCATCCTCCCCTCCTTCCCTTAGGGTTGCCCCCCCTCCGCACCCCCTTCGTCATCCTCTCTCCCCCCCTGCCCCCCCTCCGCGCCCCCCTCTCTCCCCCGCCACTCTTCTCTCTTCTCCTACCTCGTGTTCTCTCCTCTCCTCTGTTTCTCTCTCTCTTCCTCTTCTTTTTCTCTCTCCTCTCCCTTTTTTTTTCTCTCTCTCTCTTTTCTCTCCTCTCTCCTCTTTTCTCTCTTCTCTCCTCTTCTCTCTCTCTCTCTCCCTCCTCTCTCCTCTCCTGCTCCTTCTCTCTCCCTCTTGTCTTTCTCTCTCTTGTCTCCTCTCTCTTCTTTCTCTCTCCTTTCTCCTCCTTCTTCTCTCTCTTCCTTCTTTTCTCTCTCTCCTCTTCTCTTTCCCTCTCTTTTTTCTCTCTCTTCCCTCTTCTCTCTTCTCTGCTCTCTACTTTCTCTCTCTCTCTTCTATTCTCTCTCTTCTCTTTTTCTCTCTCTTCTCTTTTCTCCTCGTCTCGGTCTGCTTTTCGTCTCTCTCTTGCCTTTTTCTCTCTCTCTCTTTCTTCTCGCTCTTTTCTTCTCCTCTCTTCTCCTCGCTCTTACTTCTCTGCTTTTCTCCCTCCTCTCTTCCCCTCTCTCTTCTCTGTCTCTCTCTGCTTCTCCGTCTCTCGTTCTCTCTCGCTCTCTCTCTGCGTCTCTCTCTCTTCTCCCTCTCTCTCTCCTCCTCTTCTCTTTCTCTCTCTCTCTCTGCTCTCTCCCATCTCCTCCTTTCTCTCCTCTCTCTCTTCTCTCCTTCCTCTCTCTCTCTCTATCTCTCTTCCTCTCTTTCTCTCTCCTTCTTTCTCTCTCCTCTCTCTTTCTCTCTCTCCTCTCTCGTCTCTCTCTCGCTCTTCTCTTCTCCCTCTCTTTTCTCTCCTCTCTCTTCTCTCTCCTTCTTCTTCTCTCTTCCTTCTCTCTTGCTTCTCTCTTCTCTCTCCTCTCTCTTCTCTTTCCTCTCTCTTCTCTCTCTCTTTTTTTCTCTTCCCTCTCTTTTCTCTCTCTTTTTCTTCTCTTCCCTCTCTTTCTTCTCTCTCTCTTCTCTCTCTCTTTCTCTTCTCTCTCCCTCTCTCTTCTGTCTCCCATGTATGGCATGTATACACATGCCATACCAGGCGGCAATAGCTCAAGAATCATCTACACAAGATGCAGGAATGTTAAATAGATTGAATAAATTGAATAGATTTTAACTAGAGAATTACTCCACAGATTGTGAGCTGTGTTGTGGATCCCCTGGTCAATGCTGTTAATGAAAGTGCAGCAGGTCTAGGCACAGTGGAGAGTGCTGTCTACCTCTTGAACTGCTTCCACCAATTGCACTCCACCCTCTCACTATTGCACACAACAGGAGATAAACTGGAGATGATTCAGGTTGGTCTTTCCATGAAAACTATGATAATATTTTAAAAAACAGTCCATCCTCAAACTACTTTTATAATTGAGATAAGATGAAGCTGTGAAGTTGTTATTCCTGGTAAATAGTTCTATTCTATCCTTATTTCTCTTACCACTAATAATCTCTCACACACAGGGTCAGATTGATGCCCAGCTTGACACACTGGCACAAGAGCAAATCAGTGGAGTGTGTCACAGTGTAGGAGTTGCGGGAATGTATCCTTTCATTTCTCATCCACCGCCAACACCTCTGTCACAGAATCCTGCTTGTCAGCCACTTGCCATCCAAT